TTGTTGTTTGGCGGGTCCGGGCTGGGGATTAGAACCCGCCACCTAAGGTGTACGTGGCTGGCGCCTTAGCCAGTTGAGCTATAGGTGCCGAGCCTCCTTCCCCTTTTAAAAACTGTTTCATTATTTGGCTTCTTATCTCACAGGCTGAAAATTGAATAAGTTCTTCCCAAACTCCAAAAAAAACCCCCCAAAATGTCACCAACATGGAAGGTACCTGCCAGCCCAGGTCTCCTGAGCACATTCACAGCGCACTACAGAAAGTCTCCAACCACAGCCACCAGAGAGCTCTCAGGGCATCCCCAAAAGCTGCCTAGACCAAGGAAGAGCCCAGTCAGAGGGTGGCTCAGACAGTCAGCCAAACAATGTTCACACGGGATTCTGTGCCTTGGCACCCCAGAGCCACATACAGCTGGAGGAGGGCACACTCCCCTCCTGGCCGCCCACCATACCAACACCTGTGCAGTGCTTCTCCCAGGGAAGCTGCCAGACAGGCCCAGGGTCTGCCTGGGGGTTGGTCACGGGCACTCCCACCCACCCAAGTGTGGTCCTACAGAAGGCAGCAGGTACTGTAAGCCACAGGGTTTGTGCAATCACAGCAGGCTGGCATAGTGGGTACCCTGCATCACTGCCAGGTTTCCAGACAGCAGCTAAGGCCAGCCCGCACCAGCAGGGAGCCAGGCAGCTGCTCCACTGGTGAGAAGGAGGGCAGGTGGGGGCAGAGAGGGAGGGAGCTGCTGGTCTCAGTGGGAGTGTGACGGGCTGTGAGGCTGGAGACAAGTGAACAGCTCCTGGACATGTCTGAAGTGTCATAAGGTGGGAGAGGAGCCAAGGGGATAACTGTCCTTCACTGGGGAACTCCTGGGCCAGCCAATGCCTCTGCACAATCCCCAGGCTCCCACCCCAGCATCCTGCTCTCCCTGAAGGACCTCTGTCCTGGAGGAAAGTACCAAGTACCCTGGTAGCCACCGGGAGCCACTGCAGGCTTCATGCCATCTCCTATGGCAGAGCCCTTTGCCAAATGTCCCTCTTGGATATTCCCCAACTGCCACAGTGGCAGACTCAGTCCTCAGCTTGAAACGGTGGCAGCAAGTTTCCCAAGGCCTCCTACTGGTCCACACAGGAGCTACTTAGCAGGGCTCCCCCAGGTGCCTCGGGCTGAGCTGCTGCCAACCACAGGATGACGCCCTGGCTCCCAAGCCTGACACACAAGGGCATTTGAATGCCACCTAACTGCCTTGGCCACCAAGTCTCCTCCTGTAGCCACCTCCATGTCAGACGCCCCTTCAGCTTGGCTACCCTCTGAAGACAAGTTCCTGTGGCAGTAGGACCCTCACTCAGTTTTTGGAACCCACAAAGAACCTCCTTTCGTGTGCTGCCACCTCAGCACCCATAGATGAAGCCTGCACATGCCCACCAGGGCTGCGTAGGTCCTCTCAGCGGCTCTGAGAACCATGGCCTGACCCCAGCTGACCCCATTCCAACCTGATGGTCACCTCACCCAGCACTGTGCTTTCCAGCAGGTGCTAGACCAGCTGGCCCATGCCTCACTGGTGACCAAAGCTTCTAGGTCCCACAGGCTGGTCCAGGACGGCATCAGTCTGCTAACCTCATGGGTCAGGGGCCTACAGCACTATCATGTCCCCCACTGGATATGGCACCTGGGCAGGGAAGGTGGAGACAAGAAAGAACGGTCACATCTGAAAAGACGTCCAGGGAAGAAGAGGCCCCTCTGAGTAACCCCTGTGATCTCAGCCAACCTGAGTGAGTGCCAGTGGTGTGTGCAGAGACCCGAGGTGGGGGGAGGGGCGAAGCAAGTGACACAGACACACTGAACATACTGTTTCCACTTTCGTGTTTTAAAATAAATTTCAAGGATAAATAACTGAAAATCAGTGTGATATAGTTAGTACAATGGGAGAGCCGGGGGTCGGCATGTGGGAAACAGGGATGATTCTCTCCAGACAACCAGAACTACTTGTGAGGCTGAGCTGTGCCAGGGCCAGTCACCTACTGGCAGAAGGATCTTTCTTAGCCATATACTTGTTTTGTGACCACTACAGAATTCCAACGTCAATTCAGCTGGGCACAAGTGGCATCCACATGAGCTTCAAGTGCTCAGGGCGCCCACCTCTGTTGTGGGGTCCCTTGTACCTGAGCCACATGAACAGGGGGCCCCACCTCCTTCACACAGTGGCCAACACCTCCATGCACATTCAACCTTTTTTCTAAATTAGTAGCTCTCCCGATGCCCCAGTGGAGTCCCTGACATGGCATGGCCATCCTCACTTCAAGGATGAGGACCCCAGGTCCCCCCACCTTCTAGAACAGGCTGTCATGCCACACAGACTCATGTCCTCTCTATTTTTTTGAGACAGAGTCTTAGTCTGTCACCCTGGGTAGAGTGCTGTGTCATCATAGTTCACTGCAACCTCAAACTCTTAGGCTCAAGATATCATCATGCCTCAGCCTCCCAAGTAGCTGGGACTGCAGACACCACCACAACACCCAGCTAATTTTTTTCTGTTTTAGTAGAGATGGGGTCTCGTTCTTGCTCAGGCTGGTCTCAAACTTCTGGGATCCAGTGATCCAGACGCTCAGCCTCCCACAGTGCTGGGATTACAGGTGGGGAGCCACCGTGCCCAGCTCATACCGCGCCATTTCAAAGATTCACCCCCAACAGCTATGATGAGCACAGCCTCATCTACTAGGCACACTGTGACTTCAGGGCCTAAAACCCCAAAGCCATTTATTTGTCCACTCCGCCTGTGGGAAGTCTTAACAATATACTCGTAAGGTTGGGGACACAAATGGTGGTGGAGCTGACATGGGTCATCAGAGGATACAGGATGGGATGGCACCCGCCCGAGGCAGGAGCGGGGCCAGTGGACATGGCCCTCTCTGCTCAGCAGTGCCAAGGCTCAGGGACAGGAAGGTGGGCAGGCCAGGCAGGAGCTCAGCGGCCCGGTGCAGCCCACCTCCTTCATATTACTGCAGTATTTCAGCATTAAGCTGTGAGTCACCCCACACAGTATTTGCTTCAAGTTCACTTGCCTATAGTCTCCTTCCTGCCCCTTTCTGTCCTGGAAGGCATATCCTTCCCTGTCTGGCCTGACAGTGGCACACTCTGTATGCTCATTTGCAGGTCCCAATCCTTAACTGTAAAGGGAGGACGGACCGTCAGAAATCAGGCCAAGGTGAGATGTGATGATGGGTTCCGGAAAAGGCCCAAGGACCCTTCCCATGGCCACACATGCCTGTGATGGGGGCCCACTCTCCCCATGTTCTCTGTACAGGCAACCCTGGCAGACCAGGCACCACTGGGTGAGAGGTAAGAGGGGAGACCCAGCCATGGCCCCCAAGAAAGATGAGTCCCTCCAGTTTCAAACTCAGCAACACTCACCTTTGAATGCTACCTCCCAACGGCCTTCTAAGGAGTGGTTCCGGCCTGTGATGACATACTGATAACCAACCCACAACCTGCAGGGGACAGAGATAGAGAGCTCAGTGGCAGGAAGGAGGGGCTGTCGATGACTGTGTTTGCTTGTTCTAATACATACATTGACCTCCAAACATTGCACTTCTAAAACAGGAGTGATTGAAAGTTAACACTTAATGTTAATAAAATGCATTAAAATTCTAAGTAGTGAATCCACAGGTCAGAAAAAGTTTTTATGTCCAGTAACTCTTGCTAAGACTGTTTTTCTTAGCTGATCCAATACAGCTTTCAGGTTTAAAGCCAAGACCAACCTTATTCTTGGTAAATATAACCTGCCCCCCATGAATACAGCTCTATGAATACGTTCAAGCCACAGACCAATGTGATTTAAAGGATGTATCTTACGGTGAGTTACACTCCCATGAAGACACAGAGCCCCATGAATTGCACGGGAGTTAAGTTGTACATGTGGCTCACACTCGGAGCCTGCTGGCTCAGGACTGCACTGTGCTCCTAAAAGCACACGGTCTAGCACTGAGGGAACCTGGCCAACTGCCACAAGCACCTACCAGTGTGCACCCCCTTGCCCCAGCTTTTCAGCCCCAAGCCCAGAACTGCCCATCAGCAGATCCCCTGGTGCAGGGCTGCTCTGAGCTCAGCCTGGACTGTGCACTACGGTCATCTTGGGAAGCGGCGACCTCACCCGCTGGGCTGTGCCCTGTCGCTTCCCCGTGGCCTCACGGACATGTCCTCATGGGGTCAGCACAGTGCACTGCACTAAGCTATTTCTCCCCCTTTGTAGCTGCAGAAGAAAAAATACCTCAGTCTTGTGATTCGGCAAATCACACAGCATAACGGTGGGGCCAAACCCAGCTTTGGCTCAGGTCCTGAGGTGAAGGCCCCTGCCAACATGCCACAGGGCAGAGTGCTCCCACGGCAGCACGGCAGCCTGTGCCTTGTAGGGGCAGCAGGCTACCAACAGAGTGCCCCAGCCGTCTCTAGGCGCCTGTAGCTCACTCCTCCACAGGGAGGGCTGCCCTCCCCTCCAGGAAAGGGGGACAGCAACTGGCTACCACTAATACCTCCTCTCCCAGCAGTGTGGATGGGTCAGTGGGAAGCAACCTCCGGTGGTGGCACACCCTGGGTCTCATACAGCCCTGCCCCTAAACAAACCTCCAACAACACTGGGTCTGGGTGTGGCAGGGGCCACCATGTCTACCCTCCCTCCTCAGGGAGGCTGAGTCTGGGGGTCAAGAGCCAGTTGGTGGGCCACAGTCACATGCACCCACCGTAGGCTTTCTGAGAGGACCAAATGGGCAGACACACAGCAAGCACCAAGCACAGGAGGTATCAATGTCCTAGGAGGAACCTCTGCCTACCTATGAACACTTTAGCCCGGCCCACGGAGCCCCACACTAAGCAAGTGCAGCTGTGCCCATGGAGGGGGACTTTGAAAGGGGCTGCCCACAGCCCTGTGAGGTCAGCGCAGAGCTAACTCAGCCTGCCCCACCTCCTCCACACTCCAACCCTTGGCCTCCATGCGGCCGTCAGACTCTGGCCAGGACTCACTTGCGCTGGTCCTTCCACCCAAAGCTCCGCTCCGGCTGGTCCCATTCCTGAGCCAGGACGAAGCGCAGCTCCTGGTCAGTGGAGAAGGTGGCGAGGGAGCCATTCAGGCGCTGGCAGGTCTGTGCGGCGTCCCAGTAGTTCTCCCCGCTCAGGTAGACCCGATAGCAGCTGGCTGTGCCTTCATAGTGGTGCCACCCTGTTGGGCACTTCCCTAGGAAACATGAAGCACAGAAGGGACGTCGTCCCCCACATTAGGATCTGAATCCAGAACGAAATTAAACATGCTGCACTGGGGACAGGCACACCTCAGAAGGCAGCCCGGGGGCAGGGTCTGGGGGTCAAGGAGAAAGAAAGCTCCTACTTCTGAGACTACAGACTGGGCAGACACACTTAGAAGAACAGCTGCTGAATTAACTGGCGTGGAGATCTTGTCCTCTGAGCAATCTGGCTAACAAGGCAGCACAGCTCTGTGCTCCCAGGGGCCCTGTTCCCAACACCTGGCCCTCCCACCTCTCCGGCCGCTCAGCAGACCAGAGCTGGGAGGGCTCGGAGATGTGTGAACTGCCCCCACCTCCCACAGAGGAAGAAAGGCAGCCTGGGTGCTGCCACAGCCGGCAAAGCTGAAGAGTCTCTGAGAGTCCAGCCAGTGTCTTCTGTCTCCCACCTGTCAATCTGCCCCTCAGGCCTGGAAAGGCCTGGCCGTTCACAGGTTACCTTACATGACATTAATGACCTGTTCAGTAGAAGCTACACCTTCAAATGTTAGGTACCTCCTATTCATACACTGAAGAAAAGTAACAATCTTTAGCTAAGCCAGCTGTTAAAAAATTTCATTTTTAAATGCACCTACATCCTGTGGAACTAGTAAGATTCTTAGAGATTTATGCTCATGTTTTTATTTGTTAAAGTGTGCATGCATGCGTGTGAGACTTCTGAAGAAAGGCACGCACAGTAGGGGAAAGGAGGCGGTAGCCCTGGCGCCTGAGCTGGGAGGCAGAGCCCAAGCACAGCATGTGATGTCAGCAAACAGGACAGTGCTGCCCGCCCACCACGAGGACGGTACCCGAGTGCACAGGGGGCTCCTCAGGTGTGGAGGAGGCAGTGGCCCCCGAGAGCAGGAGTGCAGCACCACATTCACCACATGCTCCCTGAGTGCCCTGGGCCCTACAGGGGGCTCTGCTCTGTCCCCCGTGGAGAGATGAGGGTACCAAGGCAGGGAGAGGCCGGGTAGCTTGTCACCAGCACAAGGGCTAGTCTTCCCATCTCAGGAGGGGACCACAGAAAACTCTTTTCGGAGGGAAACCAGTTGGTGGCAGATGCTGGGGGAGGAGAGCACACCTCTCATTGGCTGGGGATGCTGGGGCAGGAGAGCACACCCCTCATTGGCTGGGGATGTGGGGGAGGAGAGCACACCC